CCTCTGCAGCTGTTCCAGGTGAAATTCCCCTTTCTTGAATACGGGACACTGTATTTCCAATGAGCTCTCATGAGCACATGGTATCAAGGCAATAATACATCCCAACCTCTATGGGAAATACCTGGGATGCACTAATATCATGTTTGGTTTTCCCCTGGTCATATCATGTGGTGGCTCAGAGTAGCTCCGAAGACATCTAATATACTCAAGTTGTTCTCATCCTCTGTTCGTACAAGCTTTTAGCTAAGAGCAGTTACTCATATTAATTTCCTAGTGAATGTCTTTGAACATGGAACTATTAAATTACATTCCATTTTTATTACTGTCATCCAGTTTTTTCTGTCTGATTTCCTGGTCATCCTCTGTATTGACTATGCCACCTAGTGAATATCATCATCCAATTTTTAGCACATCGCTAGTATTTGTGCCAAGATAATTAATGCAAAAAAAAAGAAAACATTAATCCAAAAATCAATCCATGATCGACTCCACAAGAATCCTTCTTCCAGCCTACTTCTATCAGTATTAACATTGTTCTCTTCATAAAATCCACTGTCTGCTTTCAAATGCTTCTATTATCCTACTCTGATTCAGTTTAACCCGATAGCACCCTATATCAAATCATCTATGGAACTCCAGATATAGTAGGTCTCCACTGTTTCCTTTATGTAGCAAATCCATATTTCTTTCAAGGAATGACAAAAGATATCAGAAAGAGATCAGAGTAGTGTGATACACTCTCCCTTTTTATCACAGTAACAATTAGTTTCCATGTTATTAGTTGTTCTTTTCAAAACTTCTTCTAAAGCCTTTTATGCTCCAGAGATCAGCTGAACATCCTGCAGTTACAAGGGTCGATCCTTCCCTCCTGCCTCTTCCTCCTTTTATGAACATAACTACTATGTTAGTTTTTCTATATAAATAGGGTATCTTCTCCAATTGACAGATGAGTTAACCCTACTGGCCCATGAGTCTATGAAGTCATGTGCAAGTTCTTCAGAATACCTGTGTGGATCCAGTTTCAGTGTGAAGGTCACTGAGATTTTTTTCATTTAAGCTGCAGAAAGTCTGTGTTCATTTTTTCATTCCCATCTTACCCCTGTGCTCAACATCATCATCTTTTCATTAAGATCTGAGGCAAGGAAATCAGGTAGTTCTTAGACCACACTGAAATTGTCTTGTATTTCTGTATGATCCGCTACTAGATCCACAACTAACAGCCTTGTCCTCATTTTATTGATGAGACCCTTTTTCTGTTTATGTCCTCTGTCATGCTAACTCAGCTTGAATTTTGGCAACACTTTGGTCGCTCACTTTTAGAAACTAGGGTAGCAAAATGTGTAAGAGAGAAAATAGTTATACATTCTCCTCTACAAGTATTCACAACATCATTAATTTTTTCTTTCTTCCCTGCTTAGCCTTGATTGCTCTTCTGAGAGAAGGAGAGAGCCTGGAGGATCTGATGAAGTTGTCTCCAGAGGAACTGCTGCTGAGGTGGGCAAACTATCACCTGGAGAATGCAGGATGCAACAAAGTCAACAACTTCAGCTCAGACATCAAGGTATGAGAAACACTGACCAACAACAGCAAAACAGCAGCTCCATACCCAAATCCCTGTCCTCCAAACAGGGATTGTGCACTGAAACAATCCAAGCAGCTGAGACTGCTCTGCCGAATACGTGGAGCTGGGTACATAAAATCACTTTAGTGGGGTTTACCTTTCCGCTCAGTGGTATTCCTCCTTCTCCCGACCTCCCAGTCCTCACTGCCAGCCCCAGCACACCAAATGCGTGGGAAAGGAATGGCTGCTGGCTCTGGACAGGGCATATGGACTCTACCGCTGTATTTTCAGTTCCCTGCCTCTATTGCTGTCCTCCTTCCTAAATGTCCTTAAATGCCTCTTGACCTGACTTTGATATAGAAAAGGCTGGACCTTACCCAGACATGTAACTAGGTGTGGGGCAAGAGGATAGGGCTCTTCCAGTTCCCCAACTTGATCTTTCCTTGAGCACCTGGGTTATGTCCCAAGCTTTGCTATAACCCTACGTGTGCTTACCTGCAAGTTTTAATTCAGTGGGACTATTCAAAATAATACAGTTAGATGAGGAGGCACTTGCAAGGATGGGTCTCTAGTCCATGCAGCATATTTCATGCACTTGGGACTTCATGGGCTTGTGGGTGGAGATTTCAGCAGAGCTTTCTCTGTAGGACCTTCATTCTTCGTAGACAGATGTACTTGAACCTCAGTGATGAATTTCAGACACTAAAGCTACAGTGTGAGGCCCAGCTAGCATCCCAGGGCTGTAGGAAGTATATCAGGGAGGGTGTCTGAGCTAGCTTCCAGGGGCTGGCTGGCACACCAATCTCACCAGCCACGACCCGACCTGCCCACTCCCAGCATACCATGGGAAAAGCCCCGCTCCAGAGATGCCTGGTTGTAGGCTTCACCAAGGACTGAAGCATGAAAAGTCATTTACCATGACTGACTTGACCTACAGAAAAAAACACCAGAGGAGGCAACAGGAGAGTCTGAGAGTCACATTTGACAATACAATTTTTATTGTAACAGATTTTTGGTTCACTGGGTGGAGGTGACTGGAGAATATCCATGGAAAGCAAAGGGAATGGAGTCTTTCCCATCTTTCTGTAGACTGGCCAAGAGGACTATAATGCAACTGATTAAATCCTATTTGCAATTGAAAGATAAATCACACTTACCATATTTACAGTTGGAAAATAAGGCGCATGTTTACCTCTCAGAGGCCAAGACTTCACCCTTTACAGCCATTCTCTAATTAAGTGTGTCTCCCCACCTCGCAGATGTATAAGATTTAAAATAATTCAGGTAATCTGCTTTATATTTTTAAGAGTATTAGTTGGGTTAGTTAGTCAAGTCCCTAGACACTAACATGTAGCTTTATTTTCAGTTGTTTGAGTTATTTCTGAAGTGAGATTAATATTTCCCACACATGGAAGCAACATTACATTTCACAAAAGAGTAAAGACACAACATTAAATTCTTGTCTTGTTTCTGCCCTTTTGCCTGAAAAATGCTGATACTGTTGTCGGTTTTAACTTTTGTCCTTGAAAACTATGCTTTCTCTTCCATAATTGTTCCAGCGTTGCTTTGAAATCCGCTTTAAACATCTGCTTTCTCCTTCTGCATTTTCTTTTATTAAATGCTCAGCAGCCTGACTTCTACAGCATTATAAAGGTATGCATTTTCTTATCTCTAATTTAATGTTCAGATTAAGTCAATTCTAATATCTCTTTGTTGTTGCTGTCTTTTTTGTAAGTGCAACACAGCATTTTTTCTCGTGCGTTGAGCATTCTGCAGCATATGTATATTGGCTTATGGAGGAAATAGATCTGGCAAATACAGCATAAATTAGGAATTGCTAAGTGCTTCTAGCTTAATTAATTTAATTATGTAGCCCAATGATTGATGAAATAAAAACGAAGCACGCAGGCACATTGTTCAGGGGAGCACTGGCATGCAAAACCTGAGCTTTAGATGTAATTTTTCCTTCCTTTAATTTCTCTGTCTGTCACAGGACTCAAGAGCTTATTACCATTTGCTGAACCAAGTTGCCCCCAAGGGAGATGAAGAAGGCATTCCGGCTATTACTATTGACATGTCAGGATTAAGGGTAAGATGAGACAAGTTTAGAGTAAATGCCGATATTTTCTGTCTGTTACTTGCACTGCTGGCCAACACAGAGTTGCACTGGCATGCCAGAAGAAGCAAACTCTTTTTAGCATTGCAACACGATCTTGTATTTCAGAAATCAAAGCTTTCAAAGAATTAAATGATGTGTTTTGCCTTTCGTTAGATATTGTCGCTGAAACTATTGAACCACACTGATAAACTACTAACATATAACAAGTATATTTAAATATATTTATTTGGGAATTTCATCAAACCATGCCCTTTTATATGGAATATAACTGGAAAAGCAATATGGTGAAATGGCTGGATTGTAGGTAAAGCCCATTTGAAAACACAGACCTGCCGATACTAAAAGTGGGAAAAGAAACAGCTATAAATCCGACAAGGACCTGCTTTAACAGCCCTACACCTAGCTCCACACGCGGAAAGCCTGAGTGGGTCTTGCGGGCAGTGCCAGGCAGTGGGGTGAGGCTGATGGCCCTGTTTTCTGCCGGCGCAGGAGAAGGATGACGTCCAGCGAGCAGAGTGCATGCTGCAGCAGGCAGAGCGGCTGGGCTGCCGGCAGTTCGTCACGGCCACCGACGTCGTCCGGGGGAACCCAAAGCTAAACTTGGCCTTCATTGCCAACTTGTTCAACAAATACCCTGCCCTGCATAAGCCAGAGAACCAGGACATCGACTGGAGCTCTATTGAAGGTAAGGAAAATGCAAATAAAGGATGTTTCTGGCCACCCGTGCCACAGTATTCCCAGCTCTGAGTTGACGATATGTTAACCTAACCTTATGTCCTTCAGACATATATTCACTGCACCGTTAGCACAGGCAGCCTTGAGAAGGGGAGGCTGTTCTTTACCTGCGTAGCTTCTGGTATCTGGGGGGTTTGTTCTGTGGATAGTACATGTTAAAAGACAAAAATGTTTGTGGGATGTCTGAACGAGTACGGACTATTGAGCACGCTTGGTAGTTGATCTGGCATTCCCTTAACTGAGAATATAATTTAAAAATCAGATCTTGCATAAACCTGCTGCCTGCTTGCTCTGGGTTGGGGTCAGGACCACTGTTGTATGATGATGTCAGATGATAAATACAGCCAGCAAATTGTTTACAAAAACATAAAAATTTTTGGACCCTGTAAGAATCATTTGCTGAGCTTCACGTCCTTCTTTCTCAGCCTCATTGTGAAACTATGCTAGGACACGCTAGGGCACAGGCTGTTCTTGAATTCTTGAAGGCATTTCAAGGCCAATCTGCCTAAATACTATAATATATAGGGCATGAAGAAATATTACATGCTGCACTGTGCTCTCTTATTTCACATGTCAACTAGTGTCTCCTGTTTATGGTTCAGTGCGCTGTAAATTCTGAGTTATGGTTTCATCACAAGACACTTATTTTACTGGAGCATTGTGTTTTGCAGGCCTGTTGATTGATGTGTCTGTTGTTTTAGGTGAGACAAGGGAAGAGAGGACGTTCAGGAACTGGATGAACTCCCTGGGTGTTAATCCACGTGTAAATCACTTATATAGGTAAGAGCAGGTATTACATTTCCTTCAGATGATAAATACAGCCAGCAAATTGTTTACAAAAACATAAAAACTTTTGGACCCTATAAAATTTTTTTTTTTTTTTTTTTTTTAGGAAACTAAGTTTACTTCTACTAATAGTTTAGTTGGGTTCCTTTCCTCTCTTCAATGATATATCTTTTTTATTGTTTTCAGTGACCTGTCAGATGCCTTGGTTATCTTCCAGCTGTATGAAAAGATCAAAGTGCCAGTAGATTGGAACAGAGTGAACAAACCACCATATCCTAAACTGGGTGGCAATATGAAGAAGGTACAAAAAGCTGGAATAGCTCCAGTAGCAATGCCTTATCCTCAAAGGATGTCTATATCATTTCAAACAGCAACGTGGGCACTCGTGTTGCTCTCAAGTCCCAAGTACAGCACATTAAATGATCGTTTGTCTAGTCAGTGAATAATTTTTTATCCTGAAAAAGAAACATACATTTGACTCACCGGCTCTGTTCACAGGTGAACAATATTTGTAAAGTAAAAAGACTTGACGCCTTTTGTGTCAATATTTAAAAACTGTATTTGCAGACCATTTTTGCTACTGTCTTAGTCACCAATTATAATGCACCTTCACCGTGAGTCATATGGCACCAGCTTAATTGCAGCTGTCTGAATCACTGCCCTCCACATCAAATGAAGACAGTGATGATAAGCATTCTTGACCAGATGCCTCAAGAACCGATCACAGAGTTGCTGCTAAATTCAAAGCTTTCTCCCAGCTATCTGGATGAGTAATTCCATCCAGTTAGGCCAGAGTGATTAACTGACCTAAAATATTGACTGGGACACTAATCCTTTGTCTCAGTGCAATGCTATAATGCTGGAGGTACCCGTGAGCCATAGATGAGTATTTTCCAGGGTAATCTGTTTTTCAGGCCCTGATGATGAAGTACAACATCTCCTGCTATGTTAACTGTTTACCATGATATTTTTGGGATGGAACTGGTTGCTGGTAGCCAAACAGCTGTATTATCACAGAGCCCCAAAGCTCCTGTTTGCCCAGGAGGATCTGGGCTAAGCGATCCAAAGAAATTAAGTAACAGTGTCCTGTCTTCTTTTTTTCTATATTTTTGAACCTCACTAATTGACCCTGTCATTAACAGCTGGAAAACTGCAACTATGCAGTGGAACTGGGAAAGAATCAAGCCAAATTTTCCCTTGTTGGCATCGCTGGGCAAGATCTGAATGAAGGAAACCGTACGCTCACGCTGGCCTTAATCTGGCAGTTGATGAGAAGGTATGGCAGTCAGACACAAACTTCAGAGTGTTTTGGTATACTCAGTTTGCATTGTAATAGTTTCCTGATGCTATCACTGAGAAGGCTCTACAGGCTACAGCTTTCTCACTCCTCTGTTTGCACTTACATGCAAAGACAGAGTAACCTTTTGCTCACTCCTAGTTAGGGATGCAATCAGGAAGCACATTATCTTGTGGGCAAGGCCATTACAGTCAGCTCATGCAGAATATTATTATTATCACTATCTGTATAGCATGAATAAATGTTCATTGCATGGAACAGAGAAAAAGAAGTTGAAAGGTCTTTGTACCAGAGAATGGGGAGAATGTACTGGAAACAAGGAATTGATGCAGAAGTTTTGTAATCTGCTACCTGAAGCAGATGCAACTCAATAGCTGTCCCCCACTTTAATGTAATTCTGTGTGCGTGTGTTTGTGTGTTTAAGAGCTCCATAATTGGGTGTAAAGAGACCCAGCAGTTAGGAACCAAACACAGACTAAATTCAGTCTATAAAGCAAGGTATAGGTTTATAAGGCAGGTAATTAATCTAGGGATGTGGTGATTACTTGCCATCAGTTTGGGATGTCTTTCCAAGGTGTATGCTGACATATAAGCAAAATATTCCAGGCTTGTGTTTATGCAGAAGATCAGTCTTAGATGAGCATAACAATTCCCTTCTGGCCTTAAAGTCAGTGATTATTTTTTAAGCACTGTGAGAATGAGTCATTTACACTGAGACCCACTAAGAGGGACCTTGTAGGAATTTTGAGTATCAAAACCTTTTGACACTCCCAAAACAGTGGTTAGGGAATTGGGGCTGAATTAGACCCAATAGATGAATTAGCATGTTATAATATAATTCATGTATACTGTGAGTGTGTGGGAAGCAGGGGAATATCAGGTCTAAGAGGACTTTTGCGGTGATCCTAGTCAAGCTGCGCACATACAGGATGGTTCTGAGCTTATGGTAGACTTGGAGCAAATGCAGGTATCCTGGCTGCCCTCTTAAGGTACACCCTGAATATCCTTGAAGACATTGGTGGTGGAGAGAAGGTCAATGATGAAATCATTGTCAGCTGGGTCAATGAAACACTGACTGCAGCCGGAAAGGATTCAACCATCTCCAGCTTCAAGGTACAGTTTTTTGTTGGAAGTCTCTGTTTAGGAATCTCTTATTCAGTGTGTTTGTGTGTATGTTATATACATTGCCTCTATATAGATATATATACGCATATACATGCACACAATATATTATGATATAATTAGCTACGTAGTTTGATTATTTTTCATTCCCTTTTAAAGGCATGTTCAGATATAGAGCTTTTATTCAAGGGGCTTTATTATGAAAAGATAACAGAAACATGATATGAACATAACAGGAAACATCTTGAATGCCAGTTTGACATAGGAAATCAAAGTATGGAGCCAGGAATGATGACTGGAATTAAGCAAGAACTGCTGTGCTGTTGATTATCAAATGAGAGCAATTACAAATGACAGTATTAAAAAGAACAATAGCAATACTTTTATAATATGGCAGTACCATTCAGGGGTGGTGCCCTATTTTGTAAGGCACCTTATAAACACAGAGATGGTCCAATTCCACAGGACTTCCAATTTTGCTAACACATCTGAGACACTTCCCAAGTTGGGGAACATTCAGTGGATGTAAATCAGCAGTTTGTACCAGGCGAGGACAGATTCATCAGACTTCATGTAATGAGCTCAGAAGTCACACAACTGTCCCCCTCGCACCTCCCATCAGTAGACGTGTATCAATGTCATCTCCCCACAGGAAGAAAATTCACTAGCCCAGCACCCCATCTTTTGATGCAGTGATGTCTCATCCATTGAGGAAAACAAAATCCTTGAAAGGGTTCTTAGTCTGCCTTAGATAAAAATGATGCTAAGCAGCCCTTTGCGAAGATCTAAATGGTATTTGACTGAGCTGTCCCTTGCTCTTGAACCTAGACTCTGGCTTTGAGGGAGGTCTGTCATCCTGTTCTTGCATCTAATTGTATTTTTCATCTATGCAGGATAGCAAAATCAGCACCAGCATGCCAGTCCTGGATCTCATTGATGCCATTCAACCAGGATCAATCAAATATGACCTCTTGAAAACAGAGGACCTGAATGATGAGGAGAAACTAAATAATGCTAAGTACGTTCGTGCCAGGTGACACTTAACACGAGTTACCTGCTCAGGCTTGCCTGACTCTGTCTTTGAAAACTGCTCTGCTATCATTCTCATCTGGCACAACCTCAACTGAGAAATACCTCCAGAGTTAGAAGCATGAAGGCTAGGAGTTAGGCAGTAAAAAAGACTATCAATGGAAATGAAGTGTGTAATGTTATAATTCCTGCTTTATAATTCCTTTAAAGGGATCAAAATCACTTGGCTTCACAAGCTCCTATTTTCTCTTATTAAATTTAAAGTTCTTCCAGAGATCAGGGAACAACGCCAATAACAGTGAGGCATGGAAACCAGTGATTAGAGGTCATGATACCTCTTCAGTCACATACAGGCGGAACAAGGGCATATTTAAGAGGGAAGGGGAGGACAGGACTCGAGCCTGAAAAACTGGTTTTATGGATGTGGATACTGATTTTTTTTTCCTGAGTGCAAACCATTTTCTAGCAGTGAGCCAATCCTGGAGGCATCTCCCTTTCCTTTCAGAGTTATACAGATCACCTCCCGGTCTGATCATCAGTTTAGCTTCTCCTTTGCTATGTGGCAACTACAAAAGAGAAAAGGATGACTGTAAGGCAATCAGAGCTGCCATCTTTTTTATAAAGACTTTTCCCACTATTCTTTTTCCCTTCCATTTCCTACCATCTGTTCTCTTTCTTTCCCTGCACTCTATGTGTGCTTACCTCCATACTTAATTTCTTCATCCCTTTGCTGACATTTTCCTCTTTTCCCCTCCCTTTCTCTGCCCCTCCCAACATGTTTCTCATTTTGGGGAGAATTTCACAAATGTATGGGCTCTGCAGTGGGAAGAACCTGGGATTTTCTAGCTTTTTTCATGAAAAAATAGAGAGAAGAGACATACACACTGGAGAACAACCAGTAGCCGTGCAACAGTGCACTCTGAGGGGGGAGATGGGAAGGTCAGCTTGCAGATTCTGGGTACGACTCAAGCAGAATAGAACTCCCTGAATGTTGATTCTCCCACAACACTGATCTCCACCAACATCAGCCTTCTGCTTTCCATCCTCATGAATTTGTTTAGGTGTGAAGACTGCGTAGCAGAGATTGAGGGGAAGCAAGACCAGAACGGCTGCTTGTTAGGATAATCTTTCAGGGGATGGGAGACTAAATGTTTCATACCAGACTTTGATCTGCAGTCTCCCATGCTGCAGCTAATCAGTGCTCTAACCATCAGGGAATACATTCTACCTTTTACTAGAAATTAGTTCTTTATGAACCTGTCTCACATATTCCTATAGAAAAGTTTAATTTTGATGAATCAGTAAGAAAGTTCCCAACCCATTCTGGTACTGATCATGTAAAAAATTTCTTAGCAGAGGGAAAATCAATGCTACTGCACTAATTTATTTATTTGGTTTTTTTTGTTTTTTTCACCCCTGCAATGCAGATATGCCATCTCTATGGCGAGAAAAATTGGAGCAAGAGTCTATGCCCTTCCAGAAGACCTGGTTGAAGTAAAACCCAAAATGGTCATGACAGTGTTTGCTTGCCTTATGGGAAAAGGCATGAAGAAAGTTTAAAGCACAAAAGACTTGTACTGATGCCTGGTATTCACCCTTTTGATTCCCTCAAACTGGATGCTCTTCTCCGTATCAAGGAAATATGCAAGGTGCTCATGCTTTTAAGGCATGAATGTTACACACGGTTCCAGAACATACAAAAGTTGTGTATCCACGTGTATCTGGGAAATGTTTTGTTTTGAACAGCAATATGTGCTTGATTTCTTTGCCTTATTTTCCACTTTGCTAGGTATAACCATTTCATATTCCTGACTAAGTTTTCAATAATGAGACCTATACATATCCTTTTGTTAATGGATACCAGGGGTTTCTGTCTTGGGAGGTACAGACAGCTTTTAGGATTATGAAATGTTATATACTGCTTCTGCCTGAAAATGTCTTCGTGCTTCTGGTAGCATTTCTGCCATACTTTCCTTCGGTTTGCACCTGGGATAACAAGAGGGTTTTCCCCAAGCCAATGCAAGTATTAGTGACTATATTTTTGGAACGGTAGGATCCTCTTAGGAAATTCTTGTGGAAAGAGAGAAGTGTTTGGAGTCTGCTATGTGTTGCTAGTATATGAACTGAGCAGTACTTTTCCTTGAAAGTTATGCCTCTGCCGCCAGTGGCATTACTCACAGAGTACATTATTACTACACTGAAAAAACCAGTGGTCCTCCAACACCCAAACTCTGGAACCTTTAGAAGAAATGCTCTCCAAAGGATAATTCATTTTTATGTCATAATACACTTAAAACATAAGCAGATTGCAAAGCATGATAGAAATGAAAACCATGTTAAAGATACTAAGGGGATATACTCAGTAGCAATAAGATAAGAAGTGAACCAAAGGGACGCAGAATGACATATTTATGTAGTTAATAAAAATAAAACTCTGTTAACTTTACAGACTTGCACTCAAAGGGCTGTGGCCCTGATTCAGGAGAGCATTTAAATGTGCGCTTGCATATGAAACGCATACTAAAATGCTTCCCTGAACCCAGGCTGAGATCCTCAACGGAGCTAAATCAGCATAGCTTTGCGGCTACCAAGGCACGGTCAGTTTGCCTCAGTCGAGGGCCAAGCCCTGTCTGCGGATAGTTAATGGGATATATTTGCACTGAATCTCTTCCTTGGCTTGAGTCATTTACTGTTCTGGCCTTTACGTAGATTTTACTGTGGTGAAATGCAGAAGGAAGGAACTTTGCCTTAATGCAATCCCGTTGACACAGTCTCAGTTCCCTCCCTCTCCCCCTCCCTCCCCTCCAGCCCATTCAGAATTGCCTTAATTAAGAACCAATGACGTGAGAAGTCTCTCCAAATAAAATGTTCTATAAAGCCAAATGTGTAATCTTTGTTTTTAGTAATGCAGGTGCTAATGGGGAAGTGTGTATCATAAAGCTGAAAGAGGGAGAGATTTTATAAGAAACCACCATGGGCTCGCTAAGGATGTGTCCTCCATATTGCTATTGAAACCACAGATTGCAGAAAGAGGGAAGAATTATTTCCTAGGTCATTTCAGTACATGCCACTCTGAGACACTGCCAAAGATGGGACACTGTCCTGGCTGGACCTGCAGCCTGACCCGGTACAATTTTCCCCATTCAGCACAATACCCGTCATCCTCTTCCTTTGTGCATATACCCATAAACTTTGCTTTTTTATGTATTCTGCAATGCAAATGTGCCACTGGGTTTCTGTGCTACAGGTCAGATCCTGTTCCTGATCAGATCTGGCTGCGCTGTTCCTCTCATGAACCTATGTATTTAATACAGGGTGGGAAAGGAACAGGACCCCAGGACCCATCCTGTCTGGTCACAATATTTCCCAGTGCTGGCAGAGGAGGAGAACATCTCAAGTGTTATACGAAGGAGATGTCACCCCAACTTACTGCCTATCAAGAGGGAGTTATCAAAGCACAGCCCCTACGCTGCTTCTCCTCTTCCTAAGTATAGGATCTGCTGTTGCCATAGTAGAGGGGTGGCACTGAAAAGGCGGCTGCTCTTCCCTCATGTTGTTTGTCTTGGGAGTCCAGCAGAGGTAAACCAGAGAGAGAAAACTGCAGGCAGAAACTGTGACCACAGCATTTCCCTCGGGCGGGATGACCATGTATTTTATGTGTGTTGCATGCATGCGTGTATGTTCGCAAACTGCAAGGGCCATTTTCGGCTGGATAGACAGTGTAGATCTGAAAGGGCCAGGTAATCCTGCCTGAAGACAGCCCTGCTGCGGGCTCCCTGTCTCAGGGAGATGCCCTCGCCCCAGACTCAGGGGCAGACGTGAGGGATGAAGTAGACCATGGATGGGAGATGGCAGCAGCACCCAGGTGCGAGGAGGGGCTTTTCCCTTGGTCTCAAACAAATGCTGGCACTTGGTATTCCCACAGAGAAGAAGGGATTTTCAGAAACAGCATTCCCCATTCACCAGCCCTTAGCCACTCAGTTTTTTGCATGGGGTAGGATTTTTAGAGGAGCCTGCTGAGAGAGGCAGGGAGAGGAGGCTTTCACACATCATGCATCTCCCATAGGCAAGATGTAGGACTTCAGTGTCCCTGGAGATCGAAACCTGCCTCTAGCTCAGGCTCTGGAGAGGGGCCAGGTGATGTACACTATTATTCGAAGCATGTTTTGTGAAGGGGGCTGCTTTTCCTCCTCCTCAGCATCCCAGCACCGGAGCCAGGCACCCTGCCATACAGCCCTCCCTCCTAGTCCCCCGCCCTCAGGCCGCATTTTGGGGCACTATCTCTGAACCCCAGCCTGCAGCTCTGCACCAGCGGTGAGCCCTGGCACCAGCCCTGGCACCAGTGCAGCAGGGAGAGCTAACCACGAGATGGCAGTCACTCTATCTGGAGTTTTAGAGACTGGCATGTATGGGCTCTGAAAATGCTCTCTTCTGGGAAATGGAGAAAAATTGGGATATTTAACCCTAGGCAAAATGCTAGCACCTGTCAGTGTAAAAAAAGGGAATAGGCAAGGATACTACAGTAAATGCCTTACCAGATTTTCATCCCTCTCTCTATAATCTGTCATGAAAAATAAAGCTGTCATGGACCTGAAGGTATGGGAATAGCCACATTCTGGTACAGGAGTATAAACATTTTCACTTTTCAACGCACCTCTGTTTAATTGGGTATTCTTGGTTTTTTGATGGACTTGAGGTTTTCTTTCATGAACTGGTAATAGTAACCTGTAATAAAGCTCCCAGCAATTGCTGAAGGGGTTAAACCCATGGCAAACATCACAAAAAACCAGGATCCGGAATTTTTTGCTGTTGCTTTTCTCCAACTTTTCCCATCACTCTTAGAGAAAGCAGCTGTCTTTGGGATTCACTCCCAAATCAAGCTGGCTTTGTAAGCACTTCCATTATTGATTTTCATTGCACAATTAATCATAATTTTCAAGCCTTCAAAAAGGCTTAGACATTCATATGAATAGAAATAAAGCATCAGCAGTTAGACTAACTAGGAGAAAAAACCCTGAGGGCAATCAATCCACATGCTTCAGGGTACAGTCTGATCACCAGATGGACTCAGAAGGAAATATCCCCCCATAGTGTAGTAGAGCATAATTAGTGCATGATGAGGATTTTACACTTCTTGTAAATCATCTATCCTGGCTAGAAATCATCTATCCTGGCTTTAGAAAGGGGATAGCAAGCATTACGGCTGGCTGCTGTGCTCTTGTACAGATAAAGTTTCTACTTCCTCCACAGATGGAATTGAACTAAAAACCCAACTTGACATCACTCCTCCTTCCAAGTGCAGCTTACTTCTGCTGTCACCCTGATCACAAACTTCAGGTCTTGGTGTCCATTGCTGCCTAACCATGCAGCAGCTTCAGTTTGGCTGCTGCGCGGAAAACAGGACCCTGTCTCTGGTAGATGGCTGCAAAAAACACACAGGCAGCACTGGTCCTACAGCAAGTACTCAGCTACCGCTGCTTTCAGCTTCATGGAGAAATGGATCCTGCTGCCTCCGATCTTGCAAACCCGTGTGGTGAGTTGCTGCTGAGACTCTCCAGCTCCTCATCTTCTGCCGCTTCTGGCAGCCTCCTCCACCATCTGGAGAATGGACTTGTCAAGAATTTGGGAGCGTTTTCCTCCAAGCTGCTCAGCCACTTTAAGTCCAGTACTTTTCAGGCAAGCGGACAAAGCGAGCAGCAGAGGGTAGCGTCACTGAATGCCTGAGCCTCACTGCCTGCTGTGTGGTGAGCAACGTCAGAGTCAAAATTGATACACAAACCTAAGAAGCTGTTCATTAAGCAGGTCAGTAAATAGGAGAGCTCTGTGTACTGGTAAGGTGATAGACTGTATATAGCTTAGTGCGGGCAAACTCTGAATTAGGACCAAAATAACTTAATAATGTTCTCATTTTGTTCTTTTTTTTTTTTTTTTTTTGGTATATCAGTGCTCAGCAGCAGTTCTCTTCTGCACCAGGAAAACCGTGTTGTTCTCCTAATGGTTCATTTGCTGCTCAGGAAGTTACACACAGGTCTGAAGTAAAATTACTATTTTTAAAGCATTGTTTTTTGTCACACCTTATTTACTTTTCGTGCCCTGATCACTTTTTAAAGGCAACAGTATGGTACAGAAAACCTAACTTGCTCCCAGGGTGCAAGCTACTATTCCTATAACAGATCCATGATAAATTGTCCAAAGCCGAGAAGGGCCAGAATTCCCACAGGCCATGTACTCACAGGTAATGATATGTCTGAAATTTGTGAAAAGGGCAGAAAGCTACATAACCGATCATGCGTATAAGCACTGAGCTCCCTCAGGGCAGGCACTCATTTAGTGCACGCGTTAAGGATCTAAAGGAATACAGCAATGACTATCTGTGAACACACAAAGCATGGAGAGAAACCCCACATATCCACCCGGGAAATCTCCTAGCAGGTGACTGACATGCACGGCGCTGCTTTGATTCACGCAGGCAGAAAAGCAATGTCCCATTGCCAGGCACCTCTGGCAGCCTATGAAGTTGTCCCGGCTCTTCACTGCAGTTAAGCAAACCGGACACCTCACAGCATGCGTTGGTTTGTCACTGAGGTGGGGACATGCCTTCTGACCAGCCCCTCAGTAAGATGTCCTCCCTTGATTTAGCAGCCCTGGAGCAGAACACCCTGCACGTCTGAGAGGTGGTGGATAAGCCTTAGGCGCATCAACCTCTCCGTGCCTTCTCCTCAAGACCTGCGTCTGCTTGGGTGCTAGTGACACGGTCCTGTGGGTAAGCAACGTGCCAGCGAAAGGCTCAATCAGCCACATCAGTGAAAAGTAACGGAGATCTCTGAGGAGGGACGCAGGCCCTCACCACCAGCCCTACCTCCACCGCTTGCTGCCCTGTTAAATCACATTTCACGTTAGGGAAATGTGGCCGCAGTGCCCCATAAT